GATGGTCCAGGATCAACATCAGTGAATTTTAATCTTGATGGTCCAGGATCAACATCAGTGAATTTATAATCTTGATGGTCCAGGATCAACAATAGTGAATTTATAATTAATCTTGATGGTCCAGGATCAACAATAGTGAATTTATAATCTTGATGGTCCAGGATCAACAATAGTGAATTTATAATCTTGATGGTCCAGGATCAACATTAGTGAATTTATAATCTTGATGGTCCAGGATCAACAATAGTGAATTTATAATCTTGGTGGTCCAGGATCAACAATAGTGAATTTATAATCTTGATGGTCCAGGATCAACAATAGTGAATTTATAATCTTGATGGTCCAGGATCAACATTAGTGAATTTATAATCTTGATGGTCCAGGATCAACAGTAGTGAATTTATAATCTTGATGGTCCAGGATCAACAATAGTGAATTTATAATCTTGATGGTCCAGGATCAACATTAGTGAATTTATAATCTTGATGGTCCAGGATCAACAGTAGTGAATTTATAATCTTGATGGTCCAGGATCAACAATAGTGAATTTATAATTAATCTTGATGGTCCAGGATCAACATTAGTGAATTTATAATCTTGATGGTCCAGGATCAACAATAGTGAATTTATAATCTTGATGGTCCAGGATCAACAATAGTGAATTTAAAATTAATCTTGATGGTCCAGGATCAACAATAGTTAATTTATAATCTTGATGGTCCAGGATCAACAGTAGTGAATTTATAATCTTGATGGTCCAGGATCAACAATAGTGAATTTATAATCTTGATGGTCCAGGATCAACAATAGTGAATTTATAATTAATCTTGATGGTCCAGGATCAACATTAGTGAATTTATAATCTTGATGGTCCAGGATCAACAATAGTGAATTTATAATCTTGATGGTCCAGGATCAACATTAAGGAATTTATAATCTTGATGGTCCAGGATCAACAATAGTGAATTTATAATCTTGATGGTCCAGGATCAACAATAGTGAATTTAAAATTAATCTTGATGGTCCAGGATCAACATTAGTGAATTTATAATCTTGATGGTCCAGGATCAACAATAGTGAATTTAAAATTAATCTTGATGGTCCAGGATCAACAATAGTGAATTTATAATCTTGGTGGTCCAGGATCAACAATAGTTAATTTATAATCTTGATGGTCCAGGATCAACATTAGTGAATTTATAATCTTGATGGTCCAGGATCAACAATAGTGAATTTATAATCTTGATGGTCCAGGATCAACAATAGTGAATTTATAATCTTGATGGTCCAGGATCAACAATAGTGAATTTATAATCTTGATGGTCCAGGATCAACAATAGTGAATTTATAATCTTGATGGTCCAGGATCAACAATGGTGAATTTATAATCTTGATGGTCCAGGATCAACAATAGTGAATTTATAATCTTGATGGTCCAGGATCAACAATAGTGAATTTATAATCTTGATGGTCCAGGATCAACATTAGTGAATTTATAATCTTGATGGTCCAGGATCAACAATAGTGAATTTATAATCTTGATGGTCCAGGATCAACAATAGTGAATTTACAATCTTGATGGTCCAGGATCAACAATAGTGAATTTATAATTAATCTTGATGGTCCAGGATCAACAATAGTGAATTTACAATCTTGATGGTCCAGGATCAACAATAGTGAATTTATAATTAATCTTGATGGTCCAGGATCAACAATAGTGAATTTACAATCTTGATGGTCCAGGATCAACATTAGTGAATTTATAACCTTGATGGTCCAGGATCAACAATAGTAAATTTATAATCTTGATGGTCCAGGATCAACAATAGTGAATTTATAATCTTGATGGTCCAGGATCAACAATGGTGAATTTATAATTAATCTTGATGGTCCAGGATCAACATTAGTGAATTTATAATCTTGATGGTCCAGGATCAACAATAGTGAATTTATAATCTTGATGGTCCAGGATCAACAATAGTGAATTTATAATCTTGATGGTCCAGGATCAACAATAGTGAATTTATAATCTTGATGGTCCAGGATCAACAATAGTGAATTTATAATCTTGATGGTCCAGGATCAACATTAGTGAATTTATAATCTTGATGGTCCAGGATCAACAATAGTGAATTTATAATCTTGATGGTCCAGGATCAACATTAGTGAATTTATAATCTTGATGGTCCAGGATCAACAATAGTGAATTTATAATCTTGATGGTCCAGGATCAACATTAGTGAATTTATAATCTTGATGGTCCAGGATCAACAATAGTGAATTTATAATCTTGATGGTCCAGGATCAACATCACACAAGTCACAAATCAGCTTCTCTTCCCCTTTCAGTGAATATGAGTGTGTTGTCTGAAGTGCTCTGACCTGTCCATTAGTGCGTGTCCCGCTTGGGTCGCTCTCCTCACGGGTGACAGGTGTGTCCTCCTCCTCTGCGCCTCCATCTGGACCGGGCCGGGAACCGCGCCACATGTTCGGGAAGCTGTCATCGCCAGCTGTGTCCCGTTCCCACAGCGACGGCCCTCCTCTTCCTGTCCTGTCATCTGAGCCAATCAAGGGGACAAAGAAGATTAATGCTCATTGTTTTGATGCCATGATCGCATCCCGCGAGGCTCGTGTGTAATCTACCACAGTAGTGGAGCTCGGTTAACGGTTTACTCAAGTCTGCTTGGTTGATTGATTCAGTCAGAGATCACCTCAAGTGTTAAAGGGATATTTCACCCACAATTCTGAAAATATGACAAATACTCTCCCTTCACTTGAGTTTATTTTATCTGTTAAACACCAAAAGAAGATATTTTGAAGAATGTTGGAAACCTGTAACCATTGAGGAACCATTTTTCCTACAATGGAAGTCAATGGTTACTGGTTTTCAGCATTTTTCAAAATATTTCGTGTGTTTCTGTTCAACACAAAAGAGGACATTTTGAAGAATGTTGGAAACCTGTAACCATTGATTTCCATTGTATTTGTTTTTCCTACTATGGAAGTCAATGGTTACCAGTTTTCAGCATCCGTCAAAACATCTGCATTTCCGTTGAACACAAAAGAAGACCTTTTGAAGAATGTTGGAAACCTGTAACCATTGATTTCCTTAGTATTTGTTTATGCTACTATGGAAGTCAATGGTTACCGGTTTTTAAGCATCCCACAAAACATCTGCATTTCCGTTGAACACAAAAGAAGACATTTTGAAGAATGTTGGAAACCGCTAACCATTAAGGAACCATTGTAGGAACCATTTTTCCCTACTATGGAAGTCAATGGTTATCGGTTTTTAGCATTCCTCAAATTATCTGCATTTCCGTTGAACTCAAAAGAAGACATTTTGAAGAATGTTGAAAACGGGTAACCATTGATTTCCTTTGTATTTGTTTATCCTACTATGGAAGTCAGTGGTTACCAGTTTTCAGCATTCTTCAAAGCATCTACTTTTGTGGTTAACAGAAGAAAGAAACTCATAAAGGTTTGGAAGCACTTGAGGGTGAGTAAATTTAGGGTAAACGCTCAGCTTTACATGAACTATGCCTTATATATATTAGCTGTGGTGTTAAAAGGATAGTTCACCCAAAAATCTGTAAATATGACTCTCCTCATGAGTTTCCTTCTTCTGTTCAACACAAAAGAAGATATTTTGAAGTATGCTGGAAACCTGTAACTATTGAGAAATCATCGTAGAAACCATTTTTCCTACTATGCAAGTCAATGGTTACCGGTTTTCAGCATTCTTCAAAGCATTTGTATTTCTGTTGAATACAAAAGAAGACATTTTGAAGAATTTTGGAAACCTGCAACCATTTATTTCCATAGTATTTGTTTTTCCTACTGTAGAAGTCAATGGTTACCGGTTTTTAGCATACTTCAAAATGTCTTCTTTTGTGGTTAACAGAAGAAACTCATAAAGGTTTGGAAACACTTAAGGGTAAGTCAATTGTGGGTAAATATTCAGTTCACTTAATAAAGCTATAATAATCTAATGTACGCACAACAGTCTGTCCAGGTCAGTGTCCTTGCCATATATGGACTATAAATTCACAGGCAAATGTTCAACTAATTGTTATTATTAAAAAGAAGATAATTAAACCATATTGGTAAATACATAAGAGTTAGAGTCATCGAAAGAGTTTTGTTGGTTTGTTTAAATTGTTGGTGATAGGATGCATGTCAGTCAGATTGGGTAGCTTTACATGGACAAATAAAAATTAAGACCTGTTTACAAATATTTAAGACATAAGAGACAAAATTTAAGTGAATTTTGAAAGTCAAAGACTTTTTAAGGCCTAAAGTTAATTTCTTTTTTAATTTAAGACATTTTAAGACCCCAAAGACACCCTGTAAAATGTTCAAACTAATTGCATAGTGGGAACAACTTAGAATTTTTTTCTGAATAGCAAATTTGAATAATTAGACAACTTACATTTACATATTCATCATAAAACAGAAATGGCATCATAATATTCACTCATTATTCCTAATTTTTCAGCTTAGTCCCTTTATTCATCAGGGGTCGCCACAGTGGAATGAACCGCCAACTTTTCCAGCATATGTTTTACACAGCGGATGCCCTTCCAGCTGCAACCCAGTACTGGAAAACACCCATACACTCTCACATTCACACACATACACTACGGCTAATTTAGCTTCTTCAATTCCCCTATATCGCATGTGTTTGGACTGTGGAGGAAACAGGAACACCCGGAGGAAACCCACGCTAACACAGGGAGAACATGCAAACTCCACACAGAAATGCCAACTGGCCCAGCCGGGCTAAGAGAAATTAATAACTCATAATCCATAAACACAAAACATTAAAACAGACGTCACACCCAAAACAAAGCATGCATCTGGAACATTAAGTTTCAAATATCACACAAGCATATAAAACACACACACAAACACACACACGCACGCGTGCGCACACTACAAAAGCCTCCAGCTGGGAAAAGGAGCATGACGGCCTGTCACCGACAGCAGCAGCTTAGTTCTGCCTCCCGCCCGCATCATCGGCGCCTATTCTGCCGGATTACTGACCCATATTTCAGAGCATTCAGCCAAAAGGTTAAACACTGCATGCGGCACCACAAAAACCCCAAATACCACTTTGCACAGCAGCAGCATCCATATTTATGGGGCCGTCCCGACTGCAAAACACGCCCTGGAAGTTGCTGAATGTCAGCGAACGGGAATTGGCTCACATTTGCCAAAATGCCATGGCATTTGCGAGGGATTGGCTACTCGGCTAGGCCGACCAATCAGAGCGAGCAGGACGGATAAGTGTTTACGAAGAGGTGGGCCGGTCAGACAATTAGCTAATTATTACAGCTCTGCAGCCTCAGCATTAGCGAATGGCAGATTTGGTTGCACACGATTAGGGCTCGTTCACACCCAATGTGTCTTTGCTTAGGAAGTAGGGTTTCTTAGGAAGTAGATTTGGGCGGGGCGAAGCAGTGGCGCAGAAGGTAGTGCTGGGTCGCTGGTTCGAACCTACCGTTTCAATTTCCTGACCTGCATGCTCTTTGTTTTACCCATAAACAAATCATAAATAAATAAAGATAAGTTGCACACAATTGACCACTTGTCAATCACTTTTTCCGCAGGAGGTTGGTCGGTAAAAAAGTGCACAGCCAACAGTGTCTGAGGTTTAGACTAAAGTACAAGTGTGAAAGTGAAAGACCTGCAGAATTGGTGGAGAAGATCAGAGCCTCTGATTGGTCAGTGGAGGACAGAAGAGCAGGACTGAGAGTGATGGCGTCTCTACTTCCTGTTGAAGAACACAAAACAAATATAAAATAGACATACTGTGACTGGGTTACCTCTGGGTGCTCCGGTTTCCCCTACAGTCCAAACACTTGCGCTATGGGTGAACTGGATGAACTAAAATGGCTGTGAATTAGTGTGTATGGGTGTTTCCCAGTACTGACTGGAAGAGCATCCGTTGCGTAAAACATATGCAGGAATAGTTGGCGGTTCATTCCGCTGTGGCGGCCTCTGATAAATCAGAGACTAAGCCGAAGGAAAACGAATGGCACTGTCAAACCAAATGCATTATTCAAAAAAATCTCTGTAGGGCCTCAACGGTCAGCGATAAATCCCAAATCTGACCCAAACACAAACATTTACACAGCTCTTCTCCACAAAAGCTGACATTTTCATAGCGGCGCACATGTAGAGATGATCAGTTTGGCCAGAGAGAGAGAGACTGCAGCTCTTGTCATCTGTCTTCATTAGTACTGGCTGCATGCATCACAGGTTAATGCCATATGTTACCCACAGGGACTGAGCTCTATATACGGCCACCAGCGCTTACATGATCCGGCGCACAAGTCTGATCAGTTTAAACACTGCATTCTAGGAGCCGCTGTGCGATGAAATATAATGAACAGGGGATTCATGCTGCGAGCAACAACTAGAGCAGTGCTGGGTTTCAGAGAGAGATCAATCTCAAGATGGATTGCATTGCGAGTCTTTAAGTTATACGATGTACAACTTTTTTCATTAAAACATCTAAATAAATAAATAAATAATAGGTGGTATATATGACGTTTTGCACCACGCTGTTTAAATACCAAATGCATTTGCGCTTATATATGCGCGCATTGGCGTTCTGTTTTAAAAAAGGAGGCAACATGAGTATTGTTGCTGACCATGTGCATCCCTTTATGACCACTGTGTTCCCATTTTCTGATGGTTACTTCCAGCAGGATAGTCACGCCATGTCATAAAGCGTGAATCATCTCAGACTGGTTTCTTGAACATGACAATAGCCCCTTTCACACATACAGACCTTTCTGGAAAATTTCCGGCAATTTTCCGGAAAGGTGTGTATGTGTGAACAGGCCCTTTTTAAAAATACCGGTAAATTCGTTCTGGCTATTTTCCGGAAAGAGAAGTTGTAACATTACCGGTAATTTGCCGGAATGCTGCGCTGTGTGAACGCAAAAGGAAGATTACCGGAAAGAGCGCGTGCACGTCTAGAACGTGCTGACGTGAGACGTCTGCTTTAGCCAATCAGAACAGTCAGACGCATTCACGTCCGCGCGGTTCATGAGAATAAAAGCCTTTGAATATTTTTCCAAACACATTTAGCTGCTAGAAATTAGTCAGACAACGTTTGTATGTTCATCTTATGCCAACCGTGTAATTAATTATGGATAAGATGCTTATGATAAGCCGTTGTTTGTTTACCTTCAAGCATTTTGCGTGTCCCCGTGAAACAGCACATGAGCGCCAGCACAAACACATATCATGTACATCTCAACATGCAAAAGTGTTACTCTATATGTTTTCATCGAAGTTGTTCACGATACTGATCATCCACAGAGTTTGTGATGTAGTCAAATGTTTACAAATACAAGCGCAGCCGTTTAGAGCTCATTTCTGGTGAATGATGTCAGAATTTACCACTATTTTGGAATGGATGTGTGAATGCTCGTTTCCGGAAAAAATTCCGTAACTTCTTCGCCTGTGTGAACAGCGCTTTTTTTAAATTTACCGGTAAAGTCGTTCCAGAAATTTTCGATATATTTACCGGTATCACTGTGTGAAAGGGGCTAATGAGTTCACTGTACTCAAATGGCCTCCACAATCACCAGATCTCAATCCAATAGAGCACCTTTGGGATGTGGTGGAAAAGGAATCGCATCATAGATGTGCGGCCGACAAATCTGCAGCAACTGCGTGATGCTATCATGTCAATATAGAGCCAAATCTCTGAGGAATATTTCCAGCACCTTGTTGAATCTACGCACTGAAGGATCAAGGCAGTTCTGCAGGACAAAGTGGGTCCAACCCATTACTAGTAAGGTGTACCTAATAAAGTGGCCGGTGAGTGTATCAGCTGTTTATCAGTACTTATTAAGTGAATAATGTGCATGATCTCATTCTAATACTCAATTTTCAAATAAACATCATCTTAAGTTTTTGAAAGGAAGCCTTAAAGGCTTGAAATGAAACAAGGGCAAGTAAACGATGACAAAAACTTGAACTCTCTCCACTTAAAGAGTGTCCGAAACTTCTTTCCTAGGGGACTCTTGATGTAAATCTACAGGATCGCTGGTGGATTGACAGCTGACAGCCTCCATATGCTCCTCTGGACCACTCCAGCATCTCCAGAGAGGATTTGTTTTTTCCGAGGCGCGCTAAAATGATGCTTCAGCGGCTGTACGCTCGACTTTCTTTGTTTCGAAAAGGTCATTGGTGTGTTATGGAGAGCGGCTTCGGAGCTAATTAAAAAGTCAGGCTAATTCTGTATGCCGAACAGCATGGAGCTTCACCGCGGCTGCTTCACTGCCCGCTGTGCAAAACAGGATGGATGGATGAGAGGCGATTCCCACCTGGCAGCTGCCCATCCATCCATTCATTCACTGCTCGTCCCCGACGCACACTGGGGAACAAAACCATCCCGTTTTATGGACAAACCAAGCTTTACGTCACATCGTGCGGCCTGGAAGCCACAGAAGTCGGCGCTAATGTCCTCTCATGGAGACTTCTGACACATCTCAGACAAGAAATCATCTCTCGCACTTGTAGTTTTGTCAGCGCGATGACAGGAAAAAAGTGGTAAAGTAGTTTTTTAGACAGGACTGCAGCAGTAAACACGGATGGAAAGGTACAGCCTGTCACTAACAAAGACAGCCAAAGACCAAGACTACTGTTAAATCTACAAGTCAAGACAACTAATGTTTTAAAGTTGCTTTACATTTGCATTTAGTCATTTAGCAGACGCTTTTATCCAAAGCGACTTACAAATGAGGACAAGGAAGCAATTTACACAACTATAAGAGCAACAATGAATAAGTGCTGTAGGCAAATTTCAGGTCTGTAAAGTCTAAGAAGGAAAGTATAAGTAATTTTTTTTTTTTGAGTACAGTTAGTGGTATATCCAGAGAGGCAATTGCAGATTAGGAAGTGTAGTGGAGACTAAATAGTTGAGTTTTTAGTTGTTTCTTGAAAACAGCGAGTGACTCTGCCGTTCTGATGCAGTTAGGGAGTTCATTCCACCAACTGGCCAGATTGAACGCGAGAGTTCGGGAAAGTGATTTTTTCTCTCTTTGGGATGGAACCACGAGGCGACGTTCATTCACAGAACGCAAGTTTCTGGAGGGCACATACATCTGCAGAAAGCCAAAGGTCGCTTTGTAGGCAAACATCAGAGCTTTGAATTTGATGCGAGCAGCAACTGGCAGCCAGTGCAAACGGATGAGCAGCGGAGTAATTTAACTTACTTTAATACATTAATACATTTATCAGGTTTCAACATCTTTGAAGTTAAACAAAGTTTAACATAATATTTTAGCAAGTTTTATTGATATAAATTGAGATGAAAAGAGCACTTATTGTGGAACAATACATTTTTAAGGAACATATTTGAGTGTAACAAAATTTTTGGTTTTGACATCCTAGCAATTAATCAAAACATGCTAGAAACATGCTGAAATGTGTGAAAATTGCTAACAAATGCTCTCAAACAAGCTAGCAAACAAACATGCTTTTCACGTTAAACCTTAAACATAAGCAACATGTTATTAACATGGCAAAACATGCTTACAACATTATAAAACGTGCCAATTCCATGCTTAACTCTTTTAGCTTATACTAAACTCCTTTGTGTAGCTGATTTAAAACCTATTTTAAGTGCTTACCTATATAAAATTAGTAGCAGAACTATACATGGTTGTATTGGTCGAATTAAGTCTTCTGAGTGCACATCTCACCAAAAATATTTGCAGAAAATATAACACCAATGCGCCAATACAACATGATAAAACGTGCCAATTCCATGCTAGATGTTAAAATTCATGCTAGTATGTTAAAACATACTGTTAACGTATGGTTTTGACATGCTAGCAATTAATCAAAACATGCTAGAAACATGCTGAAATGTGTGAAAAATGCTAATACATGCTCTCTCAAACAAAACTATTCATGTTAAACTTGCTCACAGTATGTTAAAACATGTTATTACATGACAAAACATGCTAACCTTGTTATAAAACATGCCAACTCCATGCTAGACTCTTTTAGCTTATGCTAAACTCCTTTATCTGGCTTATTTAAAAACTTTATCAACCTATTATAAGTGCTTACCAATATAAAACGAGAAGCAGAAACCATACATGAATATATTAGTCGACTTACTTGAGGTCTTCTCACTTTAAATATATTCACTAAAGTACTATTAATTTCCTTGGACTTTTAAAACTTCAGTAACGAGCTAAATAATAGCGCGTGCGCCTTTAACTGATCTCTCCTGCTCATTTCTGTAAGGCCAGTCGATCAGTTTCATAGACTGAGTTGTGATCATCTCTCTCATCCACAAAGTTCCCTAATAATACCACATTCCCCAAATGTGTTTGTAATGTGGGCAATCAGTTTCAGTAATGGATGCTTGTCAGTTTTATGGCGGCCTTATGACAGGTGAGCGTCTGATCCGTCATAGTGCTTTACTGCTCTCTTGTGGACGGAGACTGTAAAGGCATCCACTGAAACTAGTGCTTCAATGACTTTTAGAAATACATGCCTATGTGGTCACTTGCTAAAGAATGCATAAATGCAAAAAAAAATCAAGATTAATTCATTAGCAGTGCATGCTAATTAAGCCATCACCATTACTATTGCTCATACTTAAAGGGACAGTTAACTCAAAAACTGAATATTTCCTCATTATTTACTTACACTGGAGTGGTTTAATGGATTTCTTTCTTCTGTTGAACTATAAACAAGATATTATGAGGACAAAAATAAGCCATTGGCAGCTATAGT